AGCGCTTTCCCATTATTGATCGTTTCTGGACAGGAATCGCATGATTGTAGTTTCTATATTTGTGAAATTCATTAAATTCCAACCAGGCGTTGCCGGCTGGAGAAATAGAAGATGGGGATAATTTACACCTCATTCGCAATATTTAATTTAGTTCTAAATTTAGATGATTTTAATTTCCAGAAAATGCGCTATTGAAAACACTTTAGGGATGTGAAATACTTCAACCACACCAATTCCTGCCCAGAAAAAAATTTTATATGCCCATATAAGTTTTTATATGTGTTTGCCAAATATGTTTGGTTAGTTATCTTATAAATACTAAAATATTTAGATACTTACATAATTAGTACAAGCTATATATATACATTTTTATTACAATCTGTCGCACGTGGGACATTCAGTAATTGTTTTGACTTTATTATATGAATTTTTTAATGGATAGCAACCCTGATGCAGTTGTCCAATCGAAGTATGACTAATTTACTATACTTGAAGTATTTGCTAACATATTTTATTAAATACAAATTATATGTTTATAATAATACAGGTCCACAATATGACGAATCAGATTGCAAAATAAAGGTAAATGAAAATTAACGACAAAACTCCAATCTATTAATTTTTCTGTATAATAATTAAAATCTTATAATTACCGTCGTTTATTGGTCTTTTTCTTTTCAAAAGACCTGGGAAACGGATTTCTACAATGTTTTTTTTTTATTTATTGAGTTTCTATTTATTTCCTATTGCACATATTTGCAGTTATTTGAAATATGTTTGCAGATTACTGCAAATTGCTGCAAAAACTCAATACATATGAGAAAAGCGTTGCAGAAATCCGTTAAACAGTTCATTGAAGGTGAAAAGGGCCAAGAAACGACTTAAGATTTTAATTATCATGTAGAAAAATAATTAGATCAGAAATTTTGTTATTATTTTTTATTTTTCTCTATTTTTGGCAGTTAGACCCCTTAACTTTAATTTGCGGGAGCAGATTTGTGTTTAGGATTGAAAAGGCTTAATTATATGTATAAATATTTATGTATTAAATTTACTTGATTTATGTGATTTTACAATAATGCGTTAACTATCCATGTAAAAATTGTAGTCTTCATCGAAGTTTTAATTTAGATTTTTATTTCATTTTTCAATGAGAATAATATTTATTCATTTCATTAGATTAGAATTTCTATTTATTCATTATTTTAGACAAAAGGTGGGAAATTATCAAATGTTGTGTTAGTATTGGGTCTATGAAACTTCAGAATTATAGCATAAATAGTGTCAAGACTTAGTAATTAAAATATTGTTGAAATTCATTGAATTTTTTACGTATTCAAAGAATAGATTTGTCGATAATGACCGCATTTTTCTTATTTTGGCTGTTAGATTTTGTTCGATTTGTATTCAGCGTGCTCATATGTGAAACTCAACCACAATCCATATCCTTAAATTCAAAAATTAAATATATTCAACACGTTTACACTTAGTTTTCAAATTTAATTTTAAATTCAAATTCAATTCAAATTCAATATTGCTCTAAAAAATAATAAAGTTAATATTCGTATAAATCTTTTTATTTATTTATTTATAATTTGCAATCAGAATCCTATAAGCTAATGTGTGACGTATACACAAAATAAAAATTAAATAAAGTAATTAAAAAAATAATAAAAAAGATTCAAAACAAAGATTATGAACAAATACAAATAATATAATTATGAGTAAATTAGGAAAAATAAGTACGTTAGGAACTGAATGGAAGAGTTAATCCTAAGTGGAGATCATATAAATCTATAAGGCAAAAATATATTTGATTTTTAGTATTTACTCTCACTAAAAATATTGCCATGCTTTTATACCTAATTACCTCAATGACTTTCTGTCACGTGCTGATAAATAATCATGTTAAATTGTGTTAATTTCGTGCTGTGATTATTTTCCATCTATACGATTACCATGTTTACACCTTTGCCCTTATCAAGATTTTATTGCAAAGTTCACGTGTGCCATAACATATCATAGTGGTTAACTTATTTTTAGAAGCGCCTACGTTATTGTGGGGGTTGGGGCAAATCGTTGGTTTCTCAAATATTCAAAATCATACAGCAAATTGTTATGTTTTTTTATTTTAATCTACGAGTATTTGCAAAGATAGAATTGATATTTATTCCAATAGGGTTAACTACTTTCGCAACACTCGAAATTATATTGCAAATATGTAGTTCTATTTTTTTATAGTCATCTCATCAAGCATATCAAACTAGGCCGCAAATTGTTATATTTTATTTATTTTAATCTTAATGCAAAGATAGAATAGATATTCAATCCAATAATTTACATTTTTAACTAATTTCGCAACACTCGAAATTATATTGCAAATTGTTCTGTTTTTTACACTCACCTCATAAAGCATATCAAACAAGGCGGCAAATTTTTATGTTTTTAATTTTAATCTATTTGCAAAGATATAATTGCTATTCATTCCAATAATTGATGTTTTTAACTACTTTCTCAGCTCTCGAAATTATATTGCAAATTGTTCTGTTTTTTATACTCATCTCATCAAGCATTTGATAACTTACTTATATCAAACTTACTTTGATAGTATAATTAAATACTTGCGCAAATTAGAACTTAACTAGATTAAAGATAATCGAGTTTGTAAATAATAACTGTATCCTTTATATTTTGAAACATTTGAATTTTCATGTTGATATTATAAATTTGTACTTTATTTTAGAATATACTTGATTTAATAATGCAACTACTTTTGCGACTGAGAACTAAATTAGTTCTTTAGTTTTTTAATATTATAAGTAACAACTATCTACCATATCTTTTAAATCAATCTAGAGCCATACTATATTAATTTTCTTTAATAGTTCTTATTAACTTTCCGTAGGGTAGTTATATAATAATGGGCGGTCTGAAGGTTTCTGAACATTTAGGCATATCTCAGAAAAAAATAAATCAGATTTTAATTTTAATTTTGACTAAAGTTCTAAAGCTCACTTATATACTTTAAACAAATAATTTTAACTTTGCAATTCAGTTTATATAATTCTTATAAATATTAGACATTGTTACAGTATTTATAATAATCTATTTGAAAACATTTAATAATTTTCGAACATTTCATTATGGTACAGAAAGTTCCAGCAATTTGCCTTAAGACACGATGCCATACACCACTAGTTTTTTGCTAAATTATTATTTTAGACCCTGAATAACTATGTTAATTTTTTACAAAACCATTTCTTAGTAGTAAATAGTTTTTTTGCGGTAAAGTCCCCTTCATTAAATTGAAAAATATGCCACTATAATTTTGAAAAAGCATATAACTGAAATTGATATAACGTCTCATATTTAAAATAAAAAGTTAATTTAGACGATGTATATAAAAAATTATACTTTTTTGTATAATAATTTATAGGACAACAACGTTAATATTAACCATCAATTCAGCAGTTAAGTAACATTTTAAATATTATGATATTTTCAAATAAATGTTCCAATTAATTTCTCTAAATTAGTGATTTACAATATTAAATAAATGATTATTAACAATTCGTTATATTGATAAATCTAAACATTATATATTATAGTTTTCTAGTCCAAATACTAGAAATATTAAAAATCTAGCAAACTGCAATGAATAAAATATGCAGAACGATTAATATAGAGTTTCAAAATCTTTTATCTAAATTAGTTAACTAGTTAATTATGATATATGATTAACTGGTTAAATATAAATGATGATTAAAATTTTTAATTTAAATTTAATAAGCATTTTAGATTTTGGTTTTCTATTAAAAGCACCAGATATTGTTATGGCATATTATAGACAAGCAAACATTACCACGATGAAGTTTTTGTTAGTATGAAATGGTTCTGTAAGAATAATTGAATAAAATAGTTATATAGTACTTAAGATAAAAACTATTTTGTGATGTTTTGTTCTAACAAAGGAACGTTATGAACTGCTTAAAGTTATAAAGCTGCTTTGATTCAATTTTAATATAGTTGCTTTTCTGAAGTTCATTTTCATTTTGTAGTGCATAATGTATATTACACCTTATTTTGAGAGTGTATGATATAAAGAACTAGATCAACCCTGTGAGGTTCTAGGTACAATGTTTATCCATTACAATTTGTGTATTGTAGTACTCGCATGTAGTTGCCTTTGTATAGAGTTACATTAACTGGATTAGTTTCGCGAGTTTATTTCACTTTTAGTAATACAAATATAAGGTTGATTGCGACTTTATACGATATTACTGTAATAATTTAAATATTTCGTCCAGATATTTTCAAGTGAATTTGTTACTAAGAAATCTGTTAAGTTGCTAAGGTACTCCATGTACCAATGAAGTGATTAATATGAAACATTCAAACAAAAATTTTGTAGAAGAAAAAAATTTTACATGTGTAATGTTGATTAGCTAAAAGTTTAGGTAAAATTGTAGCTCAAATACTTTATCGTTAATATTAATATTAATATTTTTGTTGTATTTATATATTGAAGTATATCTAATAAGTTTAAACTTTATCATACACACGTTTATACATTATCAGATCAATATAATGAACAAGAACAAGAAACAAGTTGTTTGGAGGTTCCTATCACTTTTCTGTTGAAGAATATTTTCCGACTACACGAGGCCCATTAGATAATTTTTATAAAATATTACTTCACTGTTCTGAATAATATGTCCAGATCATGGAAAAGTGCATATATAATACTCTTTTATTTAGTATTAATGTAGAAGTGATAAATGTGCAACAGTATAATTTCTAGAAATGTTGTAGATAATTTTTAAGAATTGTTGGAGGTACTTCAATGTTTTCGAAAGAATAACCAGATAATAGAAAAAAACATATAAATAAAATAAAAATTGATACATGTGAAATTGCAATGCACTATACAATTGTATATATATTAATTGAAAATAATTAAAATAATAAATATGTATTTTTTATAAATGTGTATTTTTTAGCCATGCGCACACCAGCGCATGAGAGCTGTGGACCATCAAAAGAACCAGCTAATTCAAGTCGATTCCTGGTGCGCCCTCGCCTCTACATGGCCCTCAGCCTGGTTCTCTCTCTTCTTTATATCAGTACGACTTTCTTAGACTCGACTTCGGGGCAGCTGCCGACCCTGGTAAATGAACTCAAAAAGGTAGAGAAAATCATACTAATGAATGCATTTTACAAAAGTTGTCAAAAGACTACTTTTCAAAAGTTTTTTCCATGTGTTTGGCTCTATGTTTCTGACTTCAATATTAAATTTTTCTGGTGCAATTTGTCTCATTGCCATTGTGCTCTTTTCCTTCCATTATAAAATTCGAATTAATTATTTTTTCAATTGGTCAAATATATAAATTTCATATAAATTTGAAACATACATGTGATATATTTATATTTCTGACGTATATTTCTGACTATTTAATTTTTTTTATTATTTTCATTCTTTATATTATATAAGTCAAAATTCGACAACTGTATAATTTTATATAGCAAAGCCTCCTTTTTAGGTCTACTAAATCTTTTCTATTTACATGAATATAATTTTTTTTCTTATATTATTTTTTCCACTCTTTAAAACAAATAGCATGTTATATTTCAAAGATGTGATGAAATAAACATTCTGGATTCCGCTTTCTGTGATTCTGAATTATTTGGGTCCAAATTTTACATTGTGGTTTTTCAAAAAGGGCTGCACCAATTTTAAAAATATAAAAGCCATTAGATGAAAATTCATAAGGACTCGTTGAGTAATTTGTAACGCGGAACGCATAATTTTTCGTCCAAATTTTAGTGAAAAATTCTTAACCAAGTTTCTTAAAAATTCTTAATCAATATTCATCAGCTTTTGGTGAAGATTGGCCGGGCTGCTTGTGTGTAATCAATGTTAATTTTTTTAAAGCAGTTTAGAAAATATCAAAAGCTATTTTAAGTTGGCTATCATTACAATGCATATGAGAGATAAGAGCAAATCAGAGTATTTACTTGACCATTCATCATTTGCAGTTTTGTTTTGCGTCGTATTGTGCCAAATATTTTGTTCAATGTCATTGCTCGATAAGTTGTAACTCTATCTACTTGTTGACACATTACGCATTTTCATTAATAATATTTAATACGACATATATTCATATTTTCATTCATCTAAAACGTTAAAACACCTATGTTATTTTTATTTTAAACAGTCTTGTTAAATCAAAATTTGGAATAGTCTTATTACACAAAGAAGGAGTGAGAAAAAAAGAGAGGCTTCGAAAAATATATAATACTCGATGAAATAGTATTTTGGAAAAACTGACAAACTAACTATACTTCAACATTTTTACTAATATTTGTTATCATAGTTCAAATATTAAAATTATTACAATTTTATACAAGGTGTTAAGTATAATTATATACAAGCTCGATAATTTCAAACATATTTATTCTTTATCACTGTAATAAAAACAACACAGTAGCATAAGAAACTGATACGCGAAATGTTTTATTATTTTTAATGTTGAGTCTATTTTTAATAGGCATAGAAACAACATTGATTAATATAGCAGCAAATTTGTTGCATTAAAAAAATACATTTTATTTAATTTATTCTATTTAAATGTTTCGACGCGTGTCATCATTCATAAAATCATGCCCAGAAAAGCAATACAAAAGATTAAACTATTTTCAATAATTATAAAATAAAAATTGTATAACATATATACCAAACTAGTTGGTATTGGTATTTAGCCTTGAGGCAAGTTACATGAACTTCCCGATATGTGTGAATAATCGACTGAATCGATAATGAACAAATTAATTTATGAGTGATTAAAACTATTCCGACTGGATTAATTGAAAACGAACGAACACGTTAACTCGGAGTATTTTCTAAAAGCAAATTTTCAAAAATCAACAATTTATAATTGAATCAGTTTCCGCAGGACTTCAATGGTTTAGTATGTTGATTAAGACCAAGTACTCTATCGTTATACCAAGTAAATCCTCTAATTTTAATATTAACAAATGTCAAAAAAACTACTCATTTGTTCAAACTTTGATAAATTTTTAAAATTATACTACTTGTCGTAAGGCCGTAATATTTCAGTAAGTTCTATAAGACCATGATATCTATCGCGAAAAAAAGTTCCATAAAAGTCAGCTTAAATTTTTTTTCAACAGTTAATTACAAGAAAACGGCTTGGTAGATTTTCACCTAAAACTAATCAGTATCATTCCCAACTAATATCTTTCAAACAGTTTTTGATTTTTTAAAATTGATTCGGTAGTTTGAGCTTAAATGTGGATTACAAAAAAAACGGTTTGGCAGATCGTCTCACATAACTGACAAACGATAGTCCTCATTGAGATACATCAAATGGCTTTTAAATTTTTGAAATCGGTTCAGGCGTTTTTGAGAAAAAACGTCGATTAAAGGTCTAATTTTGACAAAGGCCAAAAAAACGATATTTTTTGCAAACTTTGATGAATTTTTATAGCTAAACGAGTTGTCGTAGGGCCGTAATATTTTAGTATGATCTAGAAGACTGTGGTATCTACCGCCAAAAAAATAATAATAAAAATCGTTGAATTTTTTTTTTAAACTTTATTACAAGAAAACGGCCCGGCCGATCTTTACCAAAAACTAATCAGCACGATTCCCAATGAATATCTTTCGAACTGTTTTTGAATTTTCAAAATTGATTAAGAATTGCGGGCTTAAACGTGGACGAAAAATTTTTCACTTTACTGCGATTTACAAAAAAACGGCTCGGCTGATCGTCACACAAAAGCGCTAGTCCTTATCGAAATACATCGAATGGCTTTTAAATTTTTGAAATCGGTCCAACCGTTTTTGAGAAAACGTCGATTTACGGTAAAAAATCTGTTCACATACACGCACACACACACACATACTTTTTCCAAATTTGGTCTCATTCGATTCAGGATGGCTTGAAACGTTGAGAAAACATAAAATTAGCGAATCGGAAAAACATAAAATTCTCTTTCGGGAAGTTAATATATATGCATATAATATGCACAATAATTATAAGAAATTAGAAAAAGTTTTACAACTATTATATACAACAAGCCGGGCAAAATAAAGCATTACTTACTTAAAAAAATGATATTGTTTTTGTTTTGAATTTTATAAGTATTATAACAATTTTAAAACTACTGAATGTTGACATAGTTACTAGAGTTTGAAACGTATGCAATAAGTATTTTTTAAATTATTATTTTCTCTATATTTTCGTTTAACAGACTACAATAATTGTATAACATTACGGTTCAATGTCGTAAATGCAAATCTTATATATGTATAATAGGTATTGGTTTTGAAAGGAATTGCTATAATTTATTTCCTCTACTAATTAGAACAATTATCTCATGTCACGTGCATTATGCAAGATTAAATTTTCAATTGCACATTTCCACATTACAAATGATTTCGTGGAATATTTCGACGGTATGATACTTTGATGTCTGATAAAAATAATCATTTGATGAATATTTTTAAAAGCTTTATCTGAAGTACATAATAAAAATCAAAGAAAAATGTTTTTTGACATGACAAGATAACTAAAAAAACCTACAAAAGGAATAATCAATTCCAATAATGCGGTTAAAAATAATAATTTCATAAATATTTTTAAAAGCTTTGTTTATTTTTGAACATGATAAGATAACTGATTGTTGAAACAAGCAAGAGTCAAATATGTTCTGTTATTTACAAATGATTATCAAATCTAAATGTATGGTAATTTACAAATGCGTAAATCATTTTCTAGATACAATCTTTCAAAGGGAAAGAATATGCAATAAAAAATGTAGATGGATGCAGCATTCCTGACTTTGATCCATTTGCCAAATCAACGAGGCACGTATTTCACAAAGTTTCAAAACCAAATTGTTCAGATCGACCACTTGCATCATCTGTGAGGAAAAAGGATTCAGGATATGAAATTGTGATAAATAAAAATATCGTTAGAAAGTATTACAAGGCTGAGACGAAGTATACGTGCTGTTATAACGAAGTATGGAGGGACCCAAAAGCAAGGGATCAAAATATAAAGTAAGATCATTAGTTTCAATATTTTCAATTTATGTACTGCTTTTAAGATAATACATTGCATTGCAGGAAATCAAAGTGCCATCCAATAAATGAAGAAACAATGCTTTCTAACACAACAGAATTTATATTAGTTTCGTGCCAAAATTCTGCCAAAGGTTTACGAAAGGGTAAAGTTTGGTATAAGTAAGTAATGTACCAGAATTAGAAAAAAAATCTTTTTGATATTAAAATAATAATTATTTACTTTTTTTAGAAACGGGCATGCTCTGATACCAGATAAAGAATCTGTCCAGCGCCGGTTGGCAGAAACCCGATCGGCCCAAATTAATCCTCCAATTAGCGTCCTTCTTATATCAATAGATTCAATTTCTAGACTTAATCTTATGAGATCTATGCCAAAAACTGCAAGACATTTGCATGATAATGGTTGGATTGAACTACGTGGATACAATAAGGTAGAAACTGGACAACATCATATTATACTATTTCTTTATTCACTTATTTAACTAAAGGAGCGTCCATTAATCATTAATCCAGCAATCGATTTTTTAAGGTTTTTTGGCCCCTACCCGTCCTTGGTAATACTCAAAATAGACCCCCCCCCCCAAACAACAGATGTATTTTCAGTTACAAGAAAAATCGTATATATATATTTTTTGAAAATGTTTCGAGTCTTTAATACAATTCAGGTGAAAAATAAATACACCTGATATCTTACTATAAACTATAACCTTCCTACACCTTCCTATAAAATATCACCTCCACGTGATATTTCGTGATTTTTTGTAAAACCCTCCCTCCCCCTAAAATATTCACCTGATTAATGGACGCCGCCTAGTCTATAAAATCAAGACAATTTTTACTGTTTATGTTATTTGTTATATAATTATCTGATTACTTTTACTTTTTCAGATAGGTGATAACACGTATCCAAATTTAATGGCCGTTCTTACTGGAAAATCGCCAACGAATTCTTACGTTTCCTGCAAACCTACGACATTACATGGTCTTGATAATTGCTGGTTTATCTGGAAGAATTACTCTAATGCGGGGTATGTTACGGCCTATGGTGAAGATTACCCGTCCATAAACACATTTAATTATAGGAAAAAAGGGTTTTATAAACAACCAACGGACTATTATATGAGACCATTATTTCTGGTAAAATATTATTAAAATTTATCAGTTGATTTGTTATGGAATTTAAATGAAAATTTGTATTGTTTCAGGCAATTAATTCGTTCACACCGGCTAGTCATAAATATGGCCAGTACTGTTCAGGGCCAGTTTCTGCAGGTCGACGAATATATGATTATGCCTTAGATTTTACCAACAAATTTCGTGATGATCCTTTTTTTGCTCTTTTTTGGATGAACTCGTTCAGTCATAACGAGGTTAACATGCCGAACTCTATGGACGGAGAAACAATGGTAATAGATTAGTCGCGAATTTTTAAATTTATAGTTAATATTCAATATTTTTATATTATCAACTTTCGAATATTAAATTAGTGAACTTAAAATAATTAACATTTGGTTAAAACTTTTTTGCTTGATCACAAAAAAATAAATGGTAAATAAACGTGTTAATGACTAGTTGCTATTGGTAATTAGCCTTGTGGCAAGTTACATGAACTTCCCGATATGTGTAAATAACCGATTTAATCAATGAAAAATAAATCAATTTATGAGTGATTAAAAGTATTTGAGTGGATTTATTATGCACAATTAAAAACCAACGATCACGTTAACTCGGAGTATTTTCAAAATCCATAAAAATCGGCTTAATTTTTTTTTCAACAGTTAATTACAAGAAAACGACTCGGTAAATTTTCACCTAAAACTAATCAGTACCATTCCCAACTAATATCTTCCAAACAGTTTTTGATTTTTTAAAATCGGCTCGGTAGGATGAGCTTAAATGTGGACGAAAAGTTTAACATTTTTTTTCGAATTGCAAAGAAACGGCTTGGCAGATCGTCACACAATGGACGATAGTCCACATCGAAATTCAACAAATAGCTTTTAAATTTTTTAAATCGGTTCAGGCGTTTTTGAGAAAACGTCGATGAAAGGTCTAATTTTGACAAATGCCAAAAAAACGATACCAATTTTTGCAAACTTTGACGAATTTTCAAAGTTGAACCAATTGTCGTAGGGCCGTAATATTTTAGTATGATCTAGAAGACTATGGTAATTACCGTCAAAAAAATAATAAAAATTGTCTAAAAAAGTTTTTAACACTTTATTACAAGAAAATGGCTCGGCCGATCTTTACCAAAAACTAATCAGCACGATTCCCAATCAATATCTTTCGAACGGTTTTTGAATTTTCATAATCGGTTCAGAATTGCGGGCTAAAACTTGGACGAAAAATTTCTCACTTTTCTGCTATTTATAAAGAAACGTCTCGGCCGATCGTCCCACAAAACTGGCAAACAATAGTCCTCGTCGAGATACATCGAAAGGCTTTCAAATTTTTGAAATCGGCCAAGCCGTTTTCGAGAAAACGTCGATTTACGGCAAAAAATCTGTTCACATACACACACACATACTTTTTCCAAATTTGGTCTCATTCGATTCAGAATGGCTTGAAGCGTCGAGAAAACATGAAATTAGCGAATCGAATTTTTTGATGAAAACATAAACTTCTCCTTCGGGAAGTTAAAAAAATGTAGTACCAACTACTATAATGTTTATACGAGTACATATATTACGCCAATAGTGGTAGTAATAGCAATAATTTACATAAGCCAGTATATAGTAGAAATTTACAAAAGCCGCGACATGTACATAAAAAAATATTGAACGTATTATGCTTATAAACTTATAAGAGTTAATGATTGTAAAATTAATATTATGCTTTTTAGCAAAAACTTTAAAAAGTTATTATTTTGTCTAAATGTATAAGTCAAAAAATAAACTGTATATAATTATTTTTCTGTTATTTTATTAGAATTTTTTCGATGATTTACAAAAGAACGGCATCCTGGACACATCAGTAGTGTTTTTCTTTAGCGATCATGGCATACGTTTTGGCAAGAGTCGTCAACTTTTTACTGGATTCTACGAGGAACGATTGCCTTTCTTTTTTGCTTGGTTGCCTGACTGGTTCAGGTAACACTTATATTAATCAATACTTTATCACTCAAAAATACAGGGATATCCCATTTCAAGTAATCTTCAATTACTCTAAATTTATAACTTATGATCATCATCTGAAACAAAATCTGAATAAAGCACAGTTAGGGTGCTAGAAAGCTATTATTACACTGTCTATTATTTAGGGAACGTTATCCAGATCTAGTCGAAGCGTTCGTGGAAAATTCAAATAGATTGACTACGCCGTACGATTTTCACGTAACACTTTTGCATCTGTTGTCGCTGGCTGATAATCCGGAAGCAATAGTTGAAAATGGCACCAAAGGTTGTTCCACAAGTCAAAGCTTATTTAAAGTTGTGTCCAGTAAACGGAGTTGTTCTGATGCTTGTATAGACCCACATTGGTGTACTTGCGGTGATCTAGTCGAACAAGACCAGAACAGTACACTTCTTAAGGTAATAAATGAGTGCTATATAATATCAAACACTCTGCTTGATCATGCCTACCATTTTGAGATAAAAATTTGAACCAATTTAATCATTTCCTCAGGACATGGCCCTTGCAGTAGTAGATCACCTCAATAATGTAGAGCTATTTAATCACACCATGTGCAGCCATCTCAGCCTGTACCAGATTCTTACAGCAAAAACTCTCGATGGAGTGCATTCTGGTTCGAATCAGAATGTTATCGTTTTTGAAACAGCACCAGGAAGAGCCCGGTTTGAAGCAACAATTTCCAAAGACAAAGACAATAATTTTATTGTCCACGACCAAATTAGTAGACTGAATACATACGAAGGCCAAAGCGACTGTGTTTCGCAAGATATACTTAGAAAATATTGTTTCTGTGTTAAATAACATGAAAGTATTTAAGTCAAATCTACCAATTTTATTTATAGACTATTTAAGTAATAAGTAGTTTTTGTTTATATTTTTAAGAATTAAATTTTTTAGTTATTTATGATGCATGATAAAAATTTATAATAATAATAATTACCGAAGTATATACTCTGTTGTATTTGTTTTTAGTATTTTTATAGGAGTTCCAGGAGCGTATTCGTGCTAGTGTACATATGATGATAGATGCAACAAATAATTATTTTGAAAATAATAGAAAATATAGTAATAGTGGAATACCTAAGTATATTTGTATATATGTTTGTATGAATGTTTGTTTGTTTATATGCATGTGTTTAAATTTATGTAATACGACAAATACGAATATTTAACAAAAGATATAGTTACTATTCCTGAACTTATTTATGCGTAATCCAAATTATTCTGTTTTAATTTATATTTTTTTATGTAACTAACGTTTAGTTAGTTTAGTAGTCGCATTAGTGTTTGCAATTTGAAAAAAACATAGATTTGTAGTAATCAAAATTTTGTATCTAGATATATCTTACTTACTTAAACTATTTTATCATGCTTGATCTAATCAATCAAATTTCTTCACCCAAATCTCGGGAACAAATAATAGTACCAAATACTAATTTTCATTGCTGAATATGGAATACATATAGAATAATTCGTTCTAAGTTTAGTTATATATTTTGTTAAAGAACCATGATATCAAGTAATGGTAAAAATAAAAGTGAAAAATGTGATATTGTTACTAAAATTTGTTAAAGCGTTAAAATTTACTTTAATACCTTTACATGTAACTAGAATGTTGATTCGAAAGACTTAGTTAAGTAAATATATTTTGATACTAGATGATCATATATTTATATGTGAGTGTATACATTATGTAATGAAGAGTAAATAAATGATAATTTTAAATAATCATTAATAACGTAATTGAATTTGATATTGAATATTTTCATACCTGTATATTTAAATTTTGTTCAATATCTATTTATAATCGTAATGCAAATAATTATATTACTACATAAAATATACGTAACTGATAGATTCAGAAACTACGTAAAATTTTTTTTCAAGTTATTATTTTCTCCATCATGTTAGCATCGCGTTGCATTTTTTTATGTCTAAATCATATATTTAGTTACTTTATAAAAAAACTTTTATATTAAAATAAAACGTACTTATGATTGATTAAAATGTGAAATTCAATATTATTAAAATAACTCAAAACAAAAATAGATTCAAATTGACATTATATCAGTAGCTCAATCAATTATCATAGCAATTGTAATTACAGTATATTTAGCCAAATTAAAGATGACTATATTGAAGATATTTTGCTCACTCATTATTATTTATGGACTTGTACTATGCATCGAGGTAATTATTCTCATCCAATGTGCTTTCTTTGCATTTACATGATCAATATTCAAACATATTATAAATAACTTGTTAACTTTATCTTTTGATCTCTTTAACTTAAAAAACACTAGGGAAAGCTAATAATTGGCAGAATGCGATCAAAATCACAAAATGATTTTAAACTAATCTATTGTATATAAGATCTTTTGCACTACCATATTATTTCATATTAAATTCAATTTTATATTTTTTTTTTATTAATTTCAGGCATTTAAATGGAAGGATTATGCTATATACAATCCGGGTGGCTGCAAAATCCCAAATTTCGATCCATTTGATCCATCTTACAAGCACCTGTTTGCAAAAGTAAAAAAACCAGTATGCGGCGATAAACCACCTGCGAGTTTTGTAAGAAAGCAGGAAGAATCTAATATTTACGAAGTTGTAATAGATAACAATGTTATAAGCGAAAACTACGATGCAGCCGAAAATTATGAATGCTGGTACAACATAGTTAGGAGACATCCCGTAAAAAAGGATCAATCTGTTGAGTGAGTAAAAAAAATTTGTAATATTTTTTTTATATATTTACATTTGTGAATTACAATCTGTTATTCTTATACAACATTCAGTGATTTTGATGATTTATTAAATAAAGGCAAAAGGTCAAAAAATCACCCATTGGTGATCCAATTCGATGTCGGATATGTTTAGCTTATAGATGTAGTCTTGTTGTGAAAATATTTAATTAAGCCTACGAGTAATTGCACATATTATAGGATTACTAAAGAATATCAAACAGGGAGTAATAATTTATTTACAAAAAAATTCATTCAAAGTATTACCCATAAATGGAGAAAGCAAATTGGTGACATAACTATAATTTGCACTTGTAATTAATTTACATGCACATTGTCCTGATTATAACACTATTATAGATTCTGCTATAAATTCTATAATATTTCAAATATTTTTTTGTCTTCATACAATCAGTTGGTGCTACAATACATATTTTTTTAAAAAGATATCTTTTACTGGCATTTTATTCTAATTTCTATATTCTACCATTCCATGGCATTATTTTAATATTTTCTTACATGTTAAATCACGTTGTCATCATTGTTATGATGATTATTACTATTATTATTATATGCACACTTTTCAACTCATTTAAAATTCTTTAACTTTCGAATGTATTGTACCACATGGACTAAAACTGAATTTTGCATAGCATAAGAGCTAATTTGAAATCAGTCCAAACAACCGCAATACCCAAAAATTTGGAACAAAAAATTGTTTTCACAATGATTATTTGTTATATTTATAACAATATATTATTAATAACAAATATATACCATATTTGTTATTAATAATATAGTCCACTCTGAAAAAAGGGGCCACTTTTGTATATTTTCAATGATATCTCGGTCAGAGTTGAAAATTGGTATATCGGATTTTTTTCGAAAAATGCTATAAAATAGCATCAAAATCATTCAAATACCAGGGTCACACGATCAGACCCTTTATATTTCTTATGTTTACAATATAAATTCTATAACAGAATCTTCTTTATTTTTACATTTAATAATTTAATATATTTTATATGATTTCGAATCATAGAGTTTGATTTTGTGTTTTCTTTATATATATTATTGATAGTTACAAGTTCTTTAACAATCAATATTATAATTCTGAGTAAGTGAAATTTTTATTAGCCCAAATTATTTAAGAAAAATTGTAAACAAAAATGATATTGAGGTCAGTGATGGTCCAAATAGTTTAGATAATTATACTATATTTTTGTTGATATTAAATTAAATATATAAATAAATGATAAATATGTAATTGAACTAGATCTCAAATACTCAAATATACTACATACTCAAAGCTTAGTCTTCTTTTATTCTCCGACTATTCGAAAATGAAGTTTTGTTAGTGATTTTGCATATATGATTGCTACTCTTTATTTTAATGTTGATAAATATTTGAATTATCATTTAAGTAAACAAGTATTGATTTTTAGTTATTGCTAAAAAAAATTTTATAATCGCAGACTATCCGCATCTTATCCAATAAAGAACAAAGCCGAGCTTCCTAGCTCTACCGAATTTATATTAGTTACCTGTCAGGATCTGCTTCCAAAGTCAAGTTCCAGATTAAGGAGGCCAAATATCTGGTATAAGTAAGTTTACTAACTTTTATAATATCATACGGCAGGTTTTTGGTAAAATCGTTTTTGTTAGAAATGCTCATGCAGTGATACCCGACAAAAAGACTGTACAAGATCGTTTGAAAAGTTTTCGCACCAGACACGAATGTTATAGTCCAATAAGTGTGCTGCTAATTGCAATCGACTCTATATCACGGATGAATCTTAAACGGAGTATGCCAAAAACTGCCAAGTACCTACATGATAATCACTGGATCGAATTACGAGGATATAATAAAGTAATTCAAAATTATATAAATATTATGCAATTATTAGTTTTACTCTCAATCGAAATTGCCATTGTAAATTTAACAACTTGGTTGAACTAATAGTTTTCTGTTATAAGTAATGCTTACATTATTGAAAACTTTTTTGATCAAAATATTTGTCTGCTAAATGCATACAAATATTATTAAATCATAAATAATTTGCAAAATCATAAACCATCTTTAGTTTGAAAAATAAAATAAAAATAAACTACTTGGTATTGGTATTTTGCATTGAGGCAAGTTACATGAACTTCCCGATATGTATAAATAATCGACCTAATCAATAAAAAAAAATATGAGTGATTAAAAGCTTTACTAGTATTCCGAGTGGATTTATAACACTTAATTGAAAATGAACAAACTCGTTAACTTGGAGTATTTTCTAAGAGCAAAATTTGAAAAATCAATAATTTTTATAATTGAACCAGTTTCCATGGGACTTTAATGGTTTAGTCTTTAGTATGTTCATTAAGACCAAGAACCCTATCGTTATACCAAGTAAATCGTCTAATTTTAATTTTAATCAAAGTCAAAAAAACTACTCATTTGCTCAAACTACAATGAACTTTTAAAATTAAACTACTTGTCGTAAGGCCATAAATAATTAGTAAATTCTATAAGACTATGATATATATCGCCAAAAAGAATTCCATAAAAATAAGCTTCAATTTTTTTCTCAACAGTTAATTACAAGAAAACGGCTCGGTAGATTTTTACCTAAACCTAATCAGTATCATTCCCAACTAATATCTTTTGAACAGTTTTTGATTTTTTAAAATCGGTTCGGTAGTTTGAGGTTAAATGTGGACAAAAAGTTTAACACTTTTTATCAAATTACAAAAAAACTGCTTGGCAGACCGTCTCACAAAACTGACATCGATAGTCCTCATTGAGATACATCAAATGGCTTTTAAATTTCTGAAATCGGTTCAGGCGTTTTTGAGAAAATGTCGATCAAAGGTCTAATTTTGACGAAATGCCAAAAAAACGATACTAATTTTTGCAAACTTTGAAGAATATTTAAAATTGAACGGCTTGTCGTAGGGCCGTAATATTTTAGTATGATCTAGAAGACTAGATCTAGAAGATCGTCAAAAAAAATCATAAAAATCGTCAAATTTTTTTTAAAAAAAACTTTATTACAAGAAAACGGCCCGGCCGATCTTTACCAAAAACTAATCAGCACGATTCCCAATCAATATCTATAGAATGGTTTTTGAATTTTCAAAATCGATTCAGAATTGCAGGCTAAAACGTGGACGAAAAATTTTTCACTTTTCTGCAATTTACAAAGAAACGGCCCGGCCGATCATCGCACAAAACTCAAAAACGCTAGTCCTCATCGAGATACATCGATTGGCTTTTAAATTCTTGAAATCGTTCCATCCGTTTTGGAGAAAACGTCGATTTACGGCAAAAAATCTGTTCACACACACACACACATTCTTTTTCCAAGTTTGGTCTCATTCGAACAAGAATGGCTTGAAACGTCGAGAAAACATAAAATTAGCGAGTCGTTTTTTTTTTATGAAAACATAAACTTCTCCTTCGGGAAATGATTTCTTTTCAGATAGGCGAATCAACATACCCAAATGAAGTAGCATTATTAACTGGGCTACCGCCATCTGACAAAACTTGTAATCCATTGTCCAGACATGGACTGAATGAGTGCCCGTTTATTTGGAAAAACTTTTCCTCGAAAGGTTATATCACTGCTTTTGGTGAAGATAATCCATCAATAAATACTTTTAATTATAATAAACAAGGATTTTATAATCAACCAACTGATTATTACATGAGGCCCTTTTTCTTGGTCAGTTAAAATTGTATTAGTTATAGAAGGAAGTGAATACTTTTACAAAAAAAACTCTTTGCACTTTTTAGGGTATGAGATCACATATGGCAGCAAGTGGTATTAAAGATTTTTTCTGTACGGGTCCTGTTGAGGCTGCTCGACGTATTTATGACTATGCCTTAAATTTTACATCAAAATTTAGGTATGATCCATATTTTGCTTTGTTCTGGACAAACTCATTCAGTCATGAAATAGCTGGGTTGCCTCTTACAATGGACATTGAAACTTTGGTATAAAACTAATATTACTATTATTATTATAAGAAATAAAAATGGCATATATATATATATATATATATATATATATATATATCAAGCCAAGTTTTATCATAATTAAAGATCTTCTTGTAATTACAGACATTTTTAGACGATTTGAAAGAAAATGGAGCCCAAAATTCATCTGTGATATTTTTCTTTAGCGATCATGGAATTCGGCGTGGTGAAAGCTTTAAATCGTATACTGGATATTACGAATTGCGGCTGCCTTTTTTCTTCGCATCTTTTCCTCCGTGGTTTAAGTAAATCTTTATTCTAAATGTGTTGGTCATGATTAGTATGAGAAGTGCAGATTTCAAATTCGTGACTAGGGCTTAAAGTAAAACAAATCATTGTACTTTATATTCTAGAGAGATGTATCCAAAATTAATGAAGGATTTTAGAATTAATGCGAATCGTTTGACAACTCCTTATGACGTATATTCCACACTTCTGCATTTGTTAACGATTAATGAAGATAAAAGATCAATGCGGAGCGCAAAATGTTGTTCAGAAAGTAATAGTTTGCTTGAGCCAATAGATTCTTCCCGAACTTGCAAAGAAGCCCGCATAGAACCTCAATGGTGCACTTGCGGAGAATTTTTAGAACACGATGACAATGGTTTAGTGCTTAAGGTACAAATTAAAACCCAAAATTGCGACTATGTTTTCCGTAAATCCAAGCCCCTGAACTAAATGACATAAATAATGATTTCACTTTTATTAATCCTTCTCAAACTATTTCTGATAATGTAAACAAATGCAATTATCCTTACTAAATATTGTTATTAGACGATATTGATGTTGATATATCTATTATTATATTTATACGTATTTTCATGTGATTTATTTAGGAGATGGCCCTCTCAGCTGTTGATCATTTGAACGAGTTTGGTCAAAGCAAAAATATAACACTCCATCGAGTTTTGTTTGGACGATCTACTGATGGTACTCTATCAAATACATTTGAAAATGTTATTGTCTTTGAAACTACTCCGGGATATAAACGTTATGAAGCAATTGTATCCAGAAATAAACATGATAAATTTAATATCGTTGATAAAATTAGACCACTGATTGCAGAGGAATAAGAAGGTATATGTGTTTCAGCAATGTAATTATTACTAAATAATTAAATGTAATTATTACGGAAAAATTAAAAGTAATTATTACTAGATAAATAAATATAATTATTACAAAATAAAATGATGATAATGTTTTGAATATACAACATGTTCCGACATTTATTTATTTAAAATATTTATTTCATATTATTAGAGTTTATTATATTTTTTTATTAACTTTGTTATAGTAATGAGCCAAAAATCGAAAATGAAAATCACGATTTGAAGGTTTCTGAACATTTTGGAATACCTCAGAAAAATGGATGTGTGTGTGTGTGTATGTATGGATACAATTTTTCTTTCGCGTTTTCGGGCGCACAGATCAACCGATTTGAATGGTTCAAAAACATTCGATTTCTATTGATAGAGAGATGTGGTGATTAGCTTCTTACTCATTCACGTACTATTATATTTACAAACACTGTTATATACTCTCGTACTATTATGTACGCAAATACTATTATTCATTGACGTACTATATTATCATCAAAATTGAAAATTCGATTTTTTGAAAATTTCACACTAGTTGTGGCCCATTTGTGGCCCTTAATATGGAAGTTGTTGTTACGGTTATCTAGGTGTTGGCTCCCCTGGCGTCTTTGTCTAAACTTGTCTTTATCTTTATATATCTTTGGTCTTAGGTTTGTCTACTCTGAAGTGTCATTTCAACTTTACTATTGACACTAGGGTTGCCGCTTTTTAGTTTAAAGTTATAAAACTGTCAGTGTCAAATTTTGTGCAGAAAGTCGTTGGTCTTTATGAAATGTTTTATATATTGTGATTGCTCGATTTCATGCTAAATATCATACAATATTTAAAACGTATGTCTGAGTTGTTGTGTTTTTTAGTTCATATTCTTCTATTTTAATTTATTTTCAAAAATATAATAAAATGGATCGAGCGGGCCAGAGTCCCTTGAATGTCAATTCAGCGAAAAGCCCCTTTAGTATTAGATCCAGACCTTCACTTAATTCATCTCGAAGGAGTTTAATTTTACCAGGATATAAGCAAAAGACACCAGGATCGTAAGTACCATGTAATATGATACCGGTAAGTAGGTTATGTTTTAACTCTTTTCTATGTTATAGGAAATACAGTGTATCAGGACGATCTAATCAATCAGTGCAAATATTATCTAAAACTCAATATAATACTGTTGAGAGTTATGGGCAACCATTACCTGTTATGGTGACTGAAGCATTGACTTTTGCTAATAACACTCATCGTTACTCTGTTAATATATCTAAGATTGGATGGGCCTGGGTATGTGTTTCGAAAAGAATCATAAATCTGATTACTAATCACATATAGAAGTGACAATCAAGTCTAATCAATGAGTGTAATAAACTTTTAGGTTGTATGTGGTAGAAGGTTACTAATTTGGCAGTGGCAAGATCCCCAAGGAAATGAAATTCGAACAGGTAGAAATCGAGCATTTGGGCAACAATGCCGTGAGCTTACGTTACCTCAAAGTGATTTATCACATAAAGCTGATCTGGTTAACGTGTTTATTTCTGAAAATAATCAGGTATGTGGGTTGCTGCATTTATGTTCATATTTTTAGATTGCACATGAAAATCAATTAATTTTTGTAAGGTACCATCTTGTATAGCTGTATCTCCTGAAGGCTTAGTTAGATATTGGCCGTCTATCGCTCATGAGGGTACATCCGTTGAAGAGACTGCTGATTTGCAGGGGCAAGAGTGTGATTCACTTATTAATATAAATCCTCAGGGTAATTTTAATTTGAAAGACAGTTATTATTGTTATAGTTTTATAGATATATCAAGTATATGATATTAATAATATAATTCATATATACTTTACAAAATCAGGGTTTATTCTTGCAACTACAACTTGTTCATTGGTATTAATACAACCTTCTTATATGGGTCATTATGGACTGACATGTAAGTTACTAAAAGCTCCATCTGGTTGGTTAGGCGGCTTAGGTAGAAGAATGAGTTCTTTAATATTTGGTGGTCTACAAACATCACAAGGAAATGAAAGTGTTAGTATTATTTAAATATAGTCCCATTGATACAGTTCTTAATGTTAAGTTCTATAAATGATTAGTTTATAAATTGTTTTTATAGAAACTAATAAAAGTAGTTGCTCTACCGCACAAAAATAAAACGTGGTCAATATGGATTCTTGCTTCACATGGCTTACAAAAGTGGCTAATATCTAATGAAGGAACAGAGAGACTAATTTTTGAATGTGATGCTGAAAGAATGCTTCGAGATTGTTTTTGTGATCGTGTATTCGAAAATTTTTCTGGTAAATATTGATGTTTTTTAAATTAATAACTTGATTAATTATTTGTTTAAAATTCATTATTATTTTAGGTGACCCTAATGATTTAGATATTTGGATGCTGGATATGCAACCATATAAAAGTGGAGTTATGATTTTAGCTGCTAGTGTTAACATGCAAAGTTCTGCACGTTTGCACTATGCGTTTGGTAAATTGAATATGGAGTGTGATAATTTTTTATGCAACAGATAAAATAAAAATATATTTTTTTCAAAGGAACTTTGTCCGGAAACGATAAGCCTCCTAGCCAATTGGATTATTTTTGTCCAATTAAATATTCCTTGTTTTATAATGAAGACAATGAAAGTGAAATTTTGGGTTTTGATTTTGTACTTAGTAATAATCAAGCATATATGTTCAGTTCGAAATGTGTTATATCTGTAACAAGTAAGTATCTATATTTAAAAAAAATCAACTGCTTTCTTAATCAAATACTGAAAACAAAATAATTTCAGCTAGCCACCCTAATGAAGAATTTGATACAATAGAATTTTTGTCTCAGGGAGACCTAATTATGGGCGGTAAAGTTTTAAATCAAAACACATTATTTTTCACTAAAAATCATGGTCTGGTGGTAATAATACCAAACGATTTCCAACCCGGAGATTTTGGTAACAGGTAGAGATTAGCAATTAGATTTATTAATTTATGTTTGAATTTACAACATTATTTGATAAAATTTTAGCTCATTTGCTTCCGAACAAGGATCAGTCTGTGATTTTACTGCTCAAAATGTATCTTTAGTTGAGAATACATGTATGCAGCCTACAAATACTGGCAATCTTTCATTATATGAAATCGACCCAAATGATATTCTGAGCAAAAATAATGATTGCCTGTCGCAGATGAAAGCAGCTTTTTTGATATATCTAAAAGATGATATAATTTCAAGTCAGAATATGTTGCAAGAATTATTTCCCAATGAATTAACAGAAGTTGATAGCACTTTAGATCGTATGGTTATAGGTAAAAAATTTATATAAAACGATTTTATTCTGGCAGTTCTATAAATTATATTAACATTTTTATTTCTAAGATGGTATTTGATTTGAAATCTTGAATGCACAAATTATCTAGTGAGGAATTAGTACTAATACAGCAATTTGAACAATAAAATATTTTATATTATGCAGGCTTGAGCAAAGACTTACTGAGTGATCCTCCTGCTGCTGATCCACGCTGGTCAGACAATAATGAAATTGGTCTTGGCAGTTCAACATCTATGCAAATATTACAACAGTTGCAAGATAAATTAAAAGCATTCAATCTATTTATAAACTTTTTAAAAGGAACTAGTTTTTGGAATAAGGTAAATAATTAATATATAATTTTTTTTTTCTCAGTAAATTATTTTATATTATATCTTTTGCATGAAGCTCGGCTGTATTACTCAACGAGGAAACATTACTGCAACATGCTATGCTTTAGGAGAATATAGCGAAAAAATTATAGCTGCTATTGAATTAAGAAAAATTCAGAATGAGTAAGTAAAATATATATTTTGCTAGGTGTAGTTTCAATATAGTTTATGATTTATTTAATTTTAGATTCAAACAAATAATAGATAAAGCAATAGCTGTTGCTTTAAAAACCACCCAAATTAAAAATGGATTGACACTTCAGGATTTATTCTATGTAGATGTGATCAACGTACATCTAGTCATACAAGCACTAACACAAAATATTGATGAATTGGTGCATTCAGATGCAAACCAATCACAAGTTATATCATCCATAAGAGATACTAATACAATAATTTTGGTAAAATAGTTTATTTTTAAATCAATATTTTTATAAAAAGAAATAAACACTTACATCCTGTTCCTTTCTTAGACAATTTTGCAAGCTGTAGTGAAATATAGGCAAGAAAATGCTGAAATTTATTCAACATCAGATAACGATACAAAAAGTGAATATTTGCCATGGACTACAGCAATGGGCAAACATGGTAATTTACAATCAACATTATTTGTATATTTTTTTTCATATCCAATATTTTTTTAAATATCTCGTTATACATTGTCCTTAGGCCTGCGGGATACGTTAACAAGTCAACATGCCTTTACATTGAGACACGCAGCTCGATGTTGCGATGGAAATTTGAGATCTAAGCTTTATGAAGACCTTGTAAATTTAGCTGATTTGATTTTAGATGGACGACAATCTCATTTGGAATCTACAAAGGGTACAGAAAAATATAGTTTACTTTTGCAACAATATGAAAGTCAACGATCTGAGCTCATTTATCCACTTGGTAATTTTATATTTCTCACATAAACATTTCTAAGCAATTGTTTCTATACTTCATATAATATTTCTTAAAATAGTTGAAGATGAGCAGTATGAAAGGGCAATAAGCCTTGCAGAAAAATATTTAGACTTTCAAATGCTGATCCAGATTTGTGAAAAAACACATAATCAAGCACGACTCGATGAATACATGGAAAAATTTAAAGAATATGTAAGTTTTCTCAATTTTTATTTGTATGTGCTTTAACTGAAGAAGAATTTCAATAATTACTACAATACATTTGATAGGATTTTTCAAATTATTTATTCAATTGGTATATAAGTCAAAAGAAGGGTGGAGTACTTCTCAATCGCTTTAAAAGTAAACAAAATGCATTAAGTACATTTTTGGGTGAGCACCCCACATTATCATGGATACAGCAAGCAATGAATGGGCAATATGAACAGTGCTACAACACATTACACAAATTGGCTTTGCAAGAATCTGAATTACTGACTAAGAAAAAGGTAGATTGAGCTACATGTTCAGATATTTTCTCACTTCAAATATTACTACATTGTACTTTTTGTAGACCATGTTATCTCTAGCAAAAATGGCAGCTCTTTGTTCTTCTGATGACTTATCAAATGAAATAGAAGACATTTCTAATTCATTGCAAATCATTCAATTTCAAGAAGAATTGCCACTTTCTGTACTGACAGCTTATGGATATGATATAAATAATATGCGAGTTTTAAGTCCTCAGGAAATTATTCAAGTATGAATCAAATTAATTTTTTATTTATACCTTATGAGATTAAATGAGAACAATTTGTTTTAGCTTTATATTTGTGAAGAAAATATTTCATGTACAGAGATCCACTTTAAAATGGCATTAGAATTGTTAAAATTTGTAGAAGATCCTTTAGAGAAAGCTGATTTGTGTCATGTTATTTGGATTGCTGCTACGCGGAGGGATCCATGGGAATATAACTCAACTGAAAATCCGCTGGATGCAGCTTTATCTACAATGTTCTTCAGATTAATTAATTACTGTTTTCTAATGGGTAAATTTTAGATAAGTTTAAGCAAACTAATGAATATCAGATTATTGAGTATGAATATTGTATAAATTACAGGTGAAGATATAGATGATTTTATGCCGCCCATTGAACAGATCCTAGGAGCACCTGAATTGGGAGCATTTGGAGAAGATAAATCATTTCAATATTTATTGAAGTTAGGGTATGAAAATATTCTTCAAACTAATAGAGCATCAGTCAAATAATTGTTTTAAATAAACTGTTTTATTTTGTAATAAATTTTTATAAAACATAAGATGCTTATATTATCTACTTAATGTTAAAACAAATTAACACAACACAATATGAATTTTTGAAATCTATCATCTGATATTTATTTTGTTTATGTGATTAATTCATTTTCATACTGTGGAACTGACTCACGTTTTGGCCTTAAAACATGTCTGACACTCGATAAAGATATATCTATATCTTTAAAAGTATTTAGTAAAACTATGCCTACAATTACTGTTAAAAAGCCACATATATTTCCAATAATGTCAAATATTGCAAGTTGATTCCACTCTTCAAATAATATTGTTGATGCAATCACAACGAAAGTAGTAAACATCACATAGTAAATTGGAGTTACAATAGATGTGTTGAAAATATCTAAAGCACGATTCAGATAATTCATTTGGAATGTAATACATGAAATAATCATGAACACAAAGAACAGTACTAAAGGACTGAATACGGATACATTTTTATTATTACCTGCAAATATTTCTTTACAAGCAACACCTAATGCCTTGCAAAACATTACACTTAGGCTTCCTATGGCAGAGCATAAAAATATATATAGTGAAATATTTTTATGGCCATGCTTATGAGTTACAAAAATATTTAAATATAAGCATATCAATATAATAGCAATACTATAAAATATAAATAATGGTTTTTGCAGTTTTACAACAAGCTCTTCTAAAGTATTAATATTTTCTTCTTTTGGACAATGTATTACTATAACTGTAGACCCTAATATACACAGCAGGCATCCAAATTTTCCTAATAAATTCAGCTTTTCATGTAGATAATATGAAGCTAATACAGATGTTACCAAAACACTGAGAACACCTAACGGCGTGACTAATGAGGCAGGAGCAAATGCATATGCAGTAAAGTTTAACAATTCACCAAATCCCACTGTAAATTTTTGCATTTAACAGGGTAAGTTAATAGTTGAAAAAATAAATAGATTTGTTATAAATAATTAAATCATAAGCCTACATTACTTCTTTAATTGAAAATTAAAAAGTATTAATTAAAAAAGTATGAACTAATATATTTTTTAGATTTAAGGAATATGAATAATAAAACAAATTTTCACAAGGAGGTAGCAAACATACAGATTAAATAATATACATAAAAAAGTAATCGACAATTAAAGTGCTATCTAGCAAAATGAATAAAAGGGAAAAGAAAGTATCCCAGCAATGCAAGCAGGCTTATGACCTAAATATTTTGGAATATTATCACACTTACTACATAAAAATCCTAGCCACCATGTGCTCTCCTTCAGATAACCAAAACCACCAGATCCAGCCCGTAGAAGACCATTTGTTCGTAGTTTTATAAGAGCCTTCTTTTTAATTATAAAACTTGAACCAATAAATAAGCTGGAAGAACTAGCAAGAGCCAGCCCCAGGTAAAAATATGCTACAGAGTTTTGCATTATGTAATTCTACATAATGCTTTTTTGAAATTACATTCAGGTAGGATAATAATATAGTACTTTTTGTCAAAATTTATAGGTTATAAATCTAGCAAAGTAATAATTTGTGTACATCCATCTAATTAGCAAAGTATTAGTAGGATATTTTGTAGCTTGACTTGTAGCATTAGCCAATATTTTTCCATAATTTTTTATAAATTATTAAAATATCAAATACATCTGACTTATTTTGATCTTTTTTCGTTTTTGACATAAACAAACATACTTCATATTAATTAAATTAACGAATTATCATGCAACGATACCAACTGAAACTAATTAATTAATTTCTGCTTTTGCTGTAAAAAGATTACAACTAAAAGTTTATGTTGAAATTTTTAGTATGAATGAATGTAAATCTAAAATCATTATTTGTGATATTGAAAAATGTGAAAATGTAATCAAAGGAAAAAAACTTTGTCTTATGTCTGTCTAAAATGAGCCTTACGAATTACTACCATCAGTAATGAAAAAAAATTAAATGCACATGATAAAGATTTATATATAATATTTTACGTAATTTGCTATGAATAATATAAAATAAATAATTTTACATAAAAATATTTATATTTATTAAAATTTAAAATTAAAATCGCTTGTGGCGGCCTCATTCGTCTATTAATGGAACTAGTTGACAGTTGTTCACAGCGCCCATCTGGATAACCCGTCACATCGTGTATAATCGTTGCACTTTTCTGTGTACAGAACTCAGGCATGTGAAATTGTGATTCAACAGTGTGCATTTGTGAATAATATTTAAAGAAACATATTTTGCTTATTGTATCCACAACAAAGATTTTTTTATTATAATGTGCTATGATAATATATTAATGGCAGTGGCAAAAGTGATTTAACGTGAATGTCTTGGATAATACTTAATGCAAAGTAATAAACATAACAACATGGCTGGTGTATTCGATTTTGAATTACACGATGTTGACGATAAAGTGAAGCCCCCAGATTCGGATGAAGACGATGTTATTGAAATAGATGAGGTCAGTGCCATTGATATTTATTTTAACTTGTGTGAGACGAAAAAATTGCCAAGTCGTAAAATATAACCTTACATTTTTTAATCCTTCTACACCATATGTGTAGAAATTCTGACTTTTACGTATTAAAATAAATATATCACTATTTAGTTTGCTGTAAGTTTTTACAGAATTTGGTCTTAATTTGGTGAAATAATTATCTGCTGGGAATTAAAGAATTTAGAATTTCTAGTTTATTCTAAAATAGTAAAAGCTTTTTGCTTTGTGAAAGAAATGTTTCGAACCTTAAAATTAAAGAGCCGCCAGCTTTACGATATATATATATATATATATATATATATATATATATATAAAATTCTATAATTAAATCGACATTTAAATATATCCTATGACTCACATTTTCTTCAAACTACTTTGTTGTAGCCATTGATGAAAAATATCATTATCAGTAAAATTTCCTGTGATTCAAAACCAAAACTGTTGGCTAAATTTTTATCATGAACAGTACCACAATTTTATTTTTATATTAATAAAGTCCATTCATATTTTGTGTAATTTATCTTCTTATGCAACTCTAATAAATAATGATACATACCTAATTCACAAATACTGGTGAAATAAGTAATTAATTTTGGCCTTTTTGTTTAAAACGTTTTTGAAATTTTAACTATTTCTTCTGGTTCAAAACAAGAATTAGATTATAGTACACAAATAAAAGGTGATCCATAGAGTTTTCCTTTTGTGTCTTCAAACTACTTTGTTGAGGCCATTGATGAAAAATATCATTATCATTAAAATTTCCTGTGATTCAAAACCAAAACTGTTGGCTAAATTCTTATCATAGACAGTACTACTATTTTATTTTTAGATTAATAAAGTCCATTCACATTTTGTGCAATTTATCTTCTTATGCAACTCTAATAAATAATGATACATACCTAATTCACAAATATAGGTGAAATAAGTAATTAATTTTGGCCTTTTTGTTTAAAATGTTTCTGAAAATTGAACTATTTTTTCTGGTTCAAAACAAAAATTAGATGTATTGTACATAAGTAAATGACAATCCATAGGGGTTTTCTTAAAAAAGCACTGTGAAATATCAATCTACTTAACTCTCTAATTACTCAATGTTTATCTATAGACAGATTGTAATTTATATGTAAATAAAAAAATCTTTCATTTTATTTATGTTTCTATTGCATTTGATCTTTTATTAAATAGGAATTATCTAATGCAAAATAATATGTTTATGAATGAGAATTTAGAATTTTGGTATACAATTCTACTCCATCTGCAAAATTATAATTAACAATAAAAAGTTTTTCATGCTTTCATACATCATTTTCTGGAATTGCTTTGGAGGATATATTTTTTAATCTTAAGCCTCTGTAGTCGATTTCACATACATACAAAATGCATTTGATTGTAATTTGATCATTTAATTAGTAAGATTTTCGACTTATCTCAATTCTTCTTGATAAAGTGGATCAATTTCCATATGGTAAAATTTCACCCATGTCTTATATTTATGGTATTGGCTAATTACATAATTTGCAGCAATAAATGAGTGATTTACTGATATAGTATAGTTCAGTCTATTAAAACTATAGTTTTAATTTTTCAAGAATTTTTATATACTATTTCTTGTTCTAAACAATCTGTAAAATTATAATTATTATATAAAGTTTTTTTTCGCTTTGATACATACTCTTCTGGAATTGACTGATTGTATATTATATCTAAATAAAAAAATCTTACTTTATTTATATGTCTACTTCTATTTGATATTTTATCAATTTTTATAAATAGGTATGTAGAATTTTGGTATACAATTTCTTCTTCTACTTCATCTGCAAAATTATAATTAACAATAAAGTTTTTTATGCTTTGATATATACTCTCCTGGAATTGCTTTGAAGGATATATTTTGTAATCTTAAGTCTTTGTCGTCGATTTCAAATACATACAAAATGCATTTGATTGTAATTTGATCATTTAATTAATGAGGAATTTGACTTATCTCAACTCTTGTTGATAAATTTGATACTTTTCGAACATCGGGTTCTAACAGGTTCTCACATGCTAAAATTTTACACATGCCTTATTTTTATAATATTGACTTATTATACGAGGTGTGTTCAAAAAGTACCCGGAATTACTAATAATTAAATTTCGCGGGTCTGGAGTGTCTGATTGTCAAAAATTTTTTTTTATTGTGTTGGTATACATGCCCCTAAAGTATGATGAAGTTTTCAGCTATATTCACTGTTTACTTTGTCTGTGGTAGTCGCTAAGGTTCGACGTGTTTTTCTGAGCTCGGCGATTTTTACAATGGAAGAATTGAAAAGTCAAAGAATTTGTATTAAATTTTGCGTAAAAAATGAAATAAAGTGTTGCAAAGTGCAAAAATTCACCAGATATGGCTCCGTGTGACTTTTTCCTATTCCCAAAGTTGAAGAGACCCATGAAAGGACGGCGGTTTTCCTCGATTGAAGAAAATCGCTGAGAGTGCTCAAGGACATATCAAAAAGTGAATATCAAGGGTGCTTCGAAAATTGGAAAAAACGCTGGCATAAGTGTATTATATCTGGGGGGGACTACTTTGAAGGGGACCACATTAATGTAGACGAATAAATAAATATTTTTTTGAAAAAATGAAAATTCCGGGTACTTTTTGAACAGACCTCGTATAATTTGTATCAAAATATGTGTGAAATACAGATATTATACAGATACACTAAAGTTTTGAATTTTTCTGGATCCAATGACCTTTATCTGTTCAAAATTGTCTATGAGTTTCTAATATGTTGCAACCACAAGAATTATACACTGTCAATACTCATGGGAAATTAATTGATAATTCATGGGTTTAAATAATTTTATATATTTATAAAGACTGCAGAAAATAGAAATCGAGTTTTTGAGAGAAAGGAGTATAGGATTTGAATGATCTAAAAACATTCAATTTGTAATGATTGGGAGAAGAGGTGATTAGTTTTTGGTAAAGACAGGCCCCGTCATTTCGAAGATACCGAACTAAATGTTCAAAAAATTTCAGTTTTTGAGTGAACTAAGCGTCCTAATTCTAATTTGAATGATCTAAAAAACTTTCTGCTTGTATTGACAAAACAATTGCTTTTGATGATAAAAAACTATTACATCTTTTTTTATTTTCTATAAAATATTTTTGTAATTTTGGATTAAAAATTCAAAAAATTACCCATGCTAAGCACGGTCTAAGCGCCACTCGGGTACAAATACATGTTTACCCAAGTACGTTTAGACAGTTTATGTACTGGAGCATTTTTCCAATTTTGTGAAAACTTATTGAAAAATGTGAAAACGCCGCCAAGCTAAGCACAGTATAAGTGAAAATGTCGCATAGAATTATTTGCAAATGCGTTTAGACTGTGACTGTGTTCAATTTTGTGCAAATTAGGCAACTATTTTTTTGAAATTGAATTCGAAATGAAATGACGATTGTTAATGTTCTGGAGATAAATTGATTTATGATTTACATTTGATTTTCTCAGATATAACAAGATAGCAAAAATAATGAAAGTTACAGTATTTGTAATAATATATTTGAAAACGTTCAAAATTTCTCGAATATTTCATTACGGTACGGGAAGTTCCAGCAATTTGCCTTAAGGCACGATGCCATACACCGCTAGTTATCTTAAGAAATGCACGTTTTGGATATAAGTCTAACTAAATTAATCTAAAGCAAAATATCTAAGAATTAGAACAGGCTGTTTATTTTTGCTAACAATATTTTTTTACTATAACTGATTTATTACTATGTAATATTTTGATATATTTCATCACATTTAATAATGCGAAATATATAGTAATTATTTTCAGCATAAGTAAGCATTATTTGCGTTATATGATACAATATTACCTTCCTTATCATTAACATTGGCGTTCATTCATTCAATTATTGAATGAGTGTGCAAACAAATACTGTTTTTATTATTGAATCTATCAGGAAAATATGTTTTCTCACACGTTATTAATTAGAATTAATCAACGTATATAGAAAATACATATACATATGATGGTTTTTATTATTGGCGAATCGACAACTGATAAAGCTTATCATAATCAATGCCATTAGAGTTTGTTCTTCCTAAAATGTGACACTGTTTAGAATCAACGTTATCAGGACAGATATAATATTTGTTACATTTTTAAATTTATAAGATTGTTTTTTGTATATAATTTATATATATTTTTTGTAAAACTTTGCAATGCATTTTTCACATTGCATTCTTTGCGGCTCAGTGATAAAAACTTGACAAGTTTCCAGGTTCGATACCCACCTCGGACAATCTGATATCAAGCAGTAGTGATATCTATTAAAACTTGGAAATGCAGATTGGAATATGTTCCCAAGTTACATTACTGGCATTACTGCAATAAATTAAATATATCAATATAAGTAAAATTCTAGTATAACTAATGGTGTATGGCATCGTGCCTTAAGACAAATTGCTGGAACTTCCCGTACCGTAATGAAATATTCGAGGAATATTATATGTTTTCAAATAGATTATTATAAATATGGTAACTTATATATGTTTACAGAAAATAAAAACAAAACTTAATGAATCAACTTTAAAATGAAGTACGATCTAATATTTATAAGATAAATATAAACTGAATTGCAAAGTTAAAATTATTTATTTAAAGTATACAAGTAAGCTTTAGAATTTTAGCTAGAATTAAAATTAAAATTCGAATTATTTTCAATATTAAAAAATTTTGGAATTAAAAAATAATAGAATGCGTTTCCCAAAAGCAACACAAACAGAAAGTTTTTTGAATCATTTAAATCGGATGCTTAGTTCTCTCAAAAACTGCCAATTTTTGCACGTTTAGCCCGAAACGGCTGGATCTACCTTTGCCAAAGACTAACCGCCACTTCTCCCCGTCATTATGAATTGAATGTTTTTTGGATCATTCAAATCGGATACTCAGTTCTCTCAAAAACTCCA